TGCAGGTTTTTAAAAAATTATTTTATGCCTTTGCAAAAAACCCCATGAACCTCCCATGCGTTGTTGTGGGTGCTTTTTACATTATACAAATGTAGGAGGACCTGTGTGGATGCTTAAGATAAATTCCAGACGTCGTATTATGATCGACACAGTTGCTCCTAATTTGGATATTCTTTAAAGAAATTCGAACTAGCCACTCAGCATGGAAGAAGAAGAGCCTATACCATCTTAAACTGTGTATTTTTGAGGGACTAACCCTCAAGTGGGAAGTGTGTGGCTCTCCAGATATTGTTGGACTGCAACTCCCAGCAGCCCCATGCCAACATAGCCCAGTGTAATGATCTGGAGGGCCATGCAATTTCTACCACAGAATTTAAAGGTAAAATGGTAGCAGGAGTTCAATAAACTATTTCCACTGGGCTGGAGTTTGGAGTTAAATATTCAAAGCCAGTGTGGAATAGCGGTTTGAGTGTTAAACTACAATTCTGGAGACCAGGGTTCGAATCCCCACTCAGCCACAAAAAAATGCTGGGTGATCTTGGCCAAGTCACACACTCTCAGCCCTCAGAAAACCCTGTGGTATGTATTGCAGGTTGAGCATTCCTTATCCAAAATGTTTTGTTCCATAAATATTTTCGAATATTTGCATCTACATAATAAGGCATCTTGGAGATGGGACCCAAATATAAACTTGAAATTCATGTATGTTTCGTTCAAGGAGTAGTCTGGAAAATCAATATGCAAAGGGATCTTGCAGTATGTTGGTGAGTTTAGGCTAATACTAATAATTATTTGTTTATTTGCAAAGGGATCTTGTAGCCCCTTTGGGAAAGATGGAAGTTGGTAGCATGAACTTACTTCCTCAGATGCATTTGGACAACCCTTTGTTGCCATAAAGAGTAACAGTTAGCAAACATCACTTGTTGATAATCACCTTCCTTTGTTGGAAGGTGGTCCAAACAGGGTCTGTTCTATTCTTATCTGGAAAAATAAGACTCTCAACAGCAACTTTCTTTAATGCAAACCAGGACCCACACGTCCTTTTATGCCTGGAGCATCCTATTAAGAGAGCAATGGGATGCCTGAACTTGGATAACCATTCCCTACACTTGCAGAACTGTGAAAGAAAGAGCAAGGCAGCATTGAAGGAAATGCAAAAGTCCCATTACATCCCAGTTAAGGACCCTTGCATTCCAGTTAAAGATGAACAAAGCCCTTTCAGCCAGGAAAGAAAATGGTAACAAGGAATGCAACAATGTTCAATCATATAACTTTGATTGAACTAACAAATGATGGAAGAAGCAACTTTGGCATCCAGCACACACATCGCACATCTAATCATTGCAAAATTAATGTTCCAGGCTTTGCCCCAAAGATGGGGGAAAATAAAAGATCACAAGGCATCGAGATTTGTATTTTTTTTAAAAAAATGTCCTAGAGTGCGTGTTTTTATTCCATTATCAATTATACAATGTTTACATACAGATAATGATTTTCAAAATGACAAAAAAAAAGAAATAATTAGTGTGTCAAACAAACATGTGGCAAATAACCAAATTTATTGGATTCCCTTCAGCTTTAGGCAAAACCAGAAACGCAACTGGAATTCATCAATGTAAAAATGCTGGGTTTTTGTTCCCCCATTTTAAAGCGGAGCTTGAAAACACCGCCAATGGAATGACTGGGCAGACCGAAAAGCCGCCTATAAACTTTGTTTGTAGCAAGCCATAAATTGGTTTTGCGGTTGTTAAGAAAGTGTTTAGAAAAGAGAAGGGGGTGCAGGTCTGCTTTGCTCTTGAATTAATTGAAGATTATTTGCAAGGGGTGTTTGGAAGGGATGTGCTAAGGCTTTTCAGCCCAAATCCTCTCCAAGAAAATCAAATCATTGAGCTGGACAAATGTCCGAATGGTAGAGAGAGATTATGGATGAACAACCGCACAAGTATTTTTTGCTTCCAAGGCATGCTTATCAATATCCACTTTCTTCCTGGGTTGCCAATAATTAACCTTTGCTTCATATAATAGGAAGGCAAAACAGGGGAAAGTTTCTCTCCATCCTCAACAAGGATTTGCAACCAGCTAATGTTACGGAAACTCGGCACAAAACGTGGGCAAGTTTTGTTCCAGAATATGGCACAGCTAAACGCTACTTCCAACTTATCGAAATTGCAATTCCCAGCTTTGACATTATTCCCCAACTTTGTGCCTGGGATGTAGCGGGTGGGCTCCGTGACACGTGGCAAGGTGGGAAGAAAATAATAAAAATAAATGACACATTTCGGGGAGGAATTTCATGGCAAGCAGGTGTTAAAACAAACTGAAACAAGACCGGCAAGTGGTGTGGTGATGGCTAAGACGTTTTTCACATGTTGTTTAACTCCAGTAAAGTTTGATCCAGCATCTGATGCATGTTGAGGTTTTCTTCTTTGGCATGTGCCACTTTCTCTGTTTTAGATTAGGAGGAAAAAACAAATGGAAAGCTGTCATTGAGAGTCAAGTATTTATGCCAATTGTACAAAAAGCAAGCAAGGTGAAGCAAGCAAGGTGAAGGAGAAGGGTCAGGAAATATCAAAATCACTTTTCCAATTGAAGCATGTTAAGAAAAAAGGGGTGGGCAAGTGTAAAAATATATTTTGGGAAAAAAGAGTCTTTAGCTCATACTTTTGTCAAACATACTTTGGCAAATTAGCAAAGAGGACAGAGAAATGATTTTTCTAAAAAGACTGCCTTGGAGCACTTTTAAAACTAACCAATTTAGTGCTCCAAGATTATTGTTTGTGCTGTAGACTAAACAGAATGAGTTTTTCTAAAAATAATAATAATTAAAAAACATGTTTTAAAGATACAATGTACAGCATGTCAATTCCAGGAGGGAAAAACAGGGAGAAGAAATTTAAACATTTTTGTTACGTTGCTAATGACACCATTGTTGCACTATTTAACATTTAGCAGAAAATGGAGCAGAGAGCCAATGTGGTATAATGGTTTCTGTGCTCTGGGTCAGGAGTCTGGGTTCGAATCCCCACTCAGCCATAGAAACCCATTACGTGACTGTGGGCATGTTACACTCTCTCAGCCTCAGAGCAAGGCAATGCTGGACAGCCTCTGGAAAAATCTTGTCAAGAAAACCCTGTGATAGGGTTGCCTTGGATTACCGTAAGCGAGAAATGACTTGAAGTCATGCAACAATGGAGATGGGGGAGAGAAACCAACCATTTTGACTGTCTGTGTACACCCAATTTCATTTACTTTTGCAAACACACACATACAAACACAATACCCCACAAATATTCCACAACCGTTAAGCTTTATGTTGCATGCACACATTAAACACAAATTTGGTGCTGACAAACATTAAGAACAACACTCCCGGTTTACATACAACCAAGCTGTCAAGATGCAAACATTTCTTTAAACTTCCCAGGAGTTATCAACAAAAGTCCCTTTATTTGGCTGGTTGATTGAAATCACTTTTTTAAAATTTTGGTTTGCAGGGCAGAAAGCAATGTGTTCAGATTTCGAACATAAACCATCTAGGAGTTCATTTAAACAAAGGTTCAGATTTCAAAGTTTTTTCCCTTTCCAAGTTAACTTGTAGAAAGGAACTCAGAGAGGAACCCTGCTTGGTTGTGTGCGTTTTGAAAAATAAATTATGATCTTGAAGCCAGAAAGAAAATATCCAAATAGAAGGCAATTAATCGTATAACTTTCCAAGGTGAAGCCCATTGCTTCTGGACTGATATTGGACAAAGGTTTCTTACTGAAACGCAGAGCTCTTCTTGCATGTTTCAACACCAAATGAATCATATATAAACTGCATTAGAAAGAGTGGGTTCATACTACAGGCTTAATCCTCGTTCAGGGCCAACTTTAATTCGTTAGTGAGACGATGGTTTTGCTCAAGTTGTTGGTAAAGTTGGTCTGTACAAGCCAGCAAGCAAGTGAGGAAAGAGAAGAGGCAGAAAGAACGAAAGAAAGAAAGAAAGAAAGAAAGAAAGAAAGAAAGAAAGAAAGAAGAATAAGGTTAGGAAAAAAGACAGACAGACAGGTGCAATGTTAACCAACACCAGCAAAAGAATCAGAGCAGACAGGCAGGTCAGTAAAAGTGGCCAGATTGAATTTCTCACCAAACTTACTTTGCAAAGCTTGAAAAGAGTGTTGCATCTCTATCCCAGGAAAGGACAAATTCTGACCACAAGAGCTGGTCAACATCCGTCACATCCAGCCACGTAAGAAACCAAATGTTCATAGGGAGTTTCCCTTCATTTCCAAAATTGGGGATGGCAAGGGTGGATCCTGTGTTGTTGGGATGTGGAATCTACTCTGAGGTTTAGCCCAAATCTGTATTTCCTTCAAAATAGGTTGACAGCCTGGATAAATCCTTTAAAATTCAGGCTAAGTCCTGGAGCAGACCCACTGCCCAAGTGACATGGAGTGGCCAAAGGATGATGGTGGAGGTGTCCAGTAAGACACCCCCAAACATGAAGATTTCCATGTTGGTTGAGACCAAAAGACCACCATTTTGTTCCCATAATGGCCAGTTAGGTACTTCAAAGGAGACTTAATAGTAGGACACAACACTAATTCAGGTTCCCCTAGCAGCCGATATATCCACGTATATTGTCTCTAATACTGGAGGTAATAATCTAGTCATCCCGATTAATCCTCCATGGATTTATTTCATCCTCTTTTGCAGCCCTCCAAATTGGCAGCCACTGTGATGTATTGTGGCGGGTAGTTCCACAGTTTCGCCCCACAACTATGTGAAGAAATCCATCCTTTTCTCTGTCATCTGTCCTCCACCAATCCGGCAGTTCCATGAAAGGGTGGCAAAGCAGGGAAGAGTCAAGTATCCCCCTAGTGCAGCATGGGAGTTGCAGTCCAAAAAGCAACTTTCCCAAACTCTGGGCTTAGTTTGAGATTCTCTTCCAACCCAAATTATCTGGCCCCATTGGCCACCTCTCCCTTCTCCAACCTTAATTTATAAACCAAGTAACTGAGCCAGCATGGCATAGTGGTTTGAGCATTGGACTATGGCTCTGGAGACCAGGGTTCGATTCCCAGCTCAGCCATGAAACCCACTGGGTGACCCTGGACAAGTCCCACTCTCTCAGCCTCAGATAACACCAATGGCAACCCCCTTCTGAAGAAACCTTCCAAGAAAACCCTATGATAGGTTCGCCTTAGGGTTGCCGTTAAGTCGGAAACGACTGGAAGGCACCCAAGAACGACTTAAGCGTTCCAGACTTGTGAATGTGTCCCATCCACATCTGTATCCCTTGATCCAAGGACAGGGTGACCATTCCATCTCGAGAGACCAGTAACAAATTAATTTTGGTTGCTGCTCACCAATGAAGGAAGGAAGGAAACCCCAACCTCCATCCTCTACTTTCAGCTTCCCTGGAAAACCCTTTTACTTGGCCACGCTCCCACTGATGCAATTCCACCTTGTTCCAACCGCAAGCACTTGACTTCTCAGACTCAGCCTCCACTTTAGCAGAAAACAGGCCATTCCTGTTAACCCAGCCAAATTTTTTCTTGGCTCAATTAGCCAACGCACAATGCAACGGTTGGCTTTTCCCCAATGCATCCTCACCCCTGGAATGTCAATGAATGACTGCGCACGGAGGCCGGCTCAGATGCATTTTCTCTGCATTGCTTAATGGAGTCACAGAATGCAAGACTTGTGGCCCATTCATTTATAGCGTTATATTCCACTTTAACTGCCACAGCAACATCCTACGGTTTGCTGTTTGGCATGGGGTTATTTTCTGCATACTCTCAACAGAAATGAGCATTTTTTACACAGGGAAAAAATGGGTGCATTTTTAAAAAAAATAAAAATATTTTTTGGGGGCACTGAATGAGCCCTGAACAGTGAACAGTCTTTGAAAACTGCCCAGTTTTGGATGATGCTTTCACAACAATAAGAAATATTGTATTACTATTCATTCTTTCCAAAGAGAATAAAATGTGTGAAGGTTTACACGCCCAGGTCACTGCACCGATCATAAGGCCATCTCTAAATTTCATGAAAATTTACAAAATACCTATCCCAAAGGTTCTTTCTGTGCAAAATTTAATTCAGGGGTAGGAATCACGCAGCTCTCCCCACCTCCAAGAGGTTGTTGAACTGCAGCTCCCATCAGCCTTAGCTGGCAGAGACCATGGCAAGGAAAGATGGGAGTTGCAGCTGCAACAACATCTGCACAATACTCACTGCTGGTTTCTTACGGATTAAAGAAATCACGATTCATTTCTGACCACATTTCTGAATGGGTGCTACAATTCTCTAGGGTTGTTTGTATGCTATGCTGAGAACAGGTACAGCCTGTGTACCTTGGTACAAAGACTTGCATCTTGTCAGTGATGTACACAAACTTAAGTCCAGTGTATAGCTAGGTATGACTTTTGTTGTTGTGAAGTTTGACATTCTCTTGTGAGAATGGATTGTGAAATGAGATGAAGGAACAGAAACGGCGAAAGAGAAAGAGAGACACATACCCCAAAATAAGGAGAGCGAGGCAGGCAGAAACAGAATAATGAAAATGCGAATAAATCCCTAATGGCGAGGAAGCAGAATTTTTTTTTTAAATTTTATTCATACTCGAAACGGTGGAAATAAATAAAAGGGCAAAAGGACTAGCCAAACAGGGAAGAGCTGACAGAGCGGGATTGTGTTTTGTCTTTATTTTACACTGAGAGGTCGGAGTGTTTCTGTACAGTCACCAAAGGCACCGAGGGACAGAGAGGAAGGGAAGGAGAGGAAGGAGAGGAAGGAAGGAAGGAAGGAAGGAAGGAAGGAAGGAAGGAAGGAAGGAAGGAAGGAAGGAAGGAAGGAAAGAAGGGCGCCTGCCCCGCGTCCGGCAAAGCGCCAAGGCGAGGAGGAGCAGGAGGAAAGGTTGAAGGGAGAGCGAGAGACGGACAGGACAAGGAACTGAGAAACAGCCAGCCGCTCGGCAAAGGTGGATTGTCCGGCTCCGAGGAGGAGATGTCTTTGGAGAAGTGCAGAAGCAAAAAAAGTTATCTGTGTGAAGATAAAGAAGACAGGAAACAATAAAGAAAACAAATACAATAATATGGAGCATGGTGGAAGGAAGGAGGAAATGGAGGAAATATGCAAGAGAAACAGGAGGATGGGAAGCCCAGAAGGGAGAAAGGTTTGGGGTCCCTGGATCATAACAGGGACAGCCAAAGGGGGATCTGGGCTCCCCAAACCAACATTGTCAGGATTTTGGCCACAAATGCATGCAGACCTTCTTTGCTGGACAAGGGATTTGTTGCCTCTGCTCTTTCCAGAGTTGGAGAAAGTTTGCTTTTGGGGAACTGCAGCTCCCACCGCTGGAGAGGGGATTGGGGGAGCTGCAATCTCCCAAAAGCAAACCTTCCCTCGACTCTGGCCATTTTGATTCTAAGGCAAAGTCCTGAATCCTTACAGAATTGCACAATGCTTTGGGTCTCCTACTGAGAGCCAAGCGAGACAGCGGTCAAATAAACCCAGGAATAAATCAATAAAATCAAACATTTCTATGCAAGTGTGGTGGTGTTTTGCCCCTGCAAACGTTTGAAAATGGATTCGAGTCCTGTTTTCACCTTTCCCAGCAACTCAGTTGTAAAACTGATTAGGAGAGGTTGCCGGGCTCACAAAAATCTTCAATTACATTATGCCACCCTCCCAATCTATCATTCTTTTGCAACCCATGATGGCAGAATGACAGAGGGCTAGGGGATTCTGGGAGATGTCATACATAAAAGTGACTTTCCCCAAGCTCTAATTCTGGCTGAAATCAAAGGGGGAGGGAAGAGGCCTGTGGAGCCTCAGAAAGTGTACTAACCAGAGCCTGGAGAAGTTACCGGTACTTTTGGGGACTACAACACCCAGAACCCTCTGGCCATGCTGGTTAGGGGATTCTGGGAACTGTAGTTCCAAAATAACTTTCCCACGCTCTGGCATTAGTTAGAATCAGTGGAAAGGAGCAAAGGCTGCATTACCCAATATCTACCGCATGTGCTCCTGGCAACAATTTTTGAAAAGTTTGTGCAATTATGAGAATACTTTTAAGAAGAAGGAAACAGTTATTTAAAAGAAGGAAAAAAGCTTTTTTTCCCCCCAGCTCACTTCTGACAGGTAGATTGCACACATAGTTCTAAGACTCAAAAGGTTCTGGTTAAAGGAATTTCCTTATTTACAAGTCTGCTAGCATTTCACGTCAAATGCATATAACACTTTTCAAAATCCATTTTCAACCTGGAAAGAGCAATCTCTAACTGTTTCAGAAACGAAACTCCACTCTCTAGATGAGAACTTCCAACTGCATTTGAAACTCTGACAAGTCTTAACCTGCAAGCTATTCTACTACTATTAGTCCATATGCAAAAAAAAAAAACCCCTTTCTTTGTTCCAAGACACAAAGTGTTTGTAAGGATGTTAAAAATGCAAGACAGGGAAGGCTTCTAGCGGAGGTTAAAAATTCCAAACCTGCAAAACAGATGATTTTCTTAGACCACCACCAACCACAACATGAAAAAACAAGAGTACAACAAAAAATATTTCAAAATGGTAGATACAGCAATATTTTTTGTTTATGTATTAAATGGAAGAAAGGGAGGAAGAATGCAAATTACTTTGGTGCATGCAAATCCATATTAGAGGCTCTCACCAAAGCTCAAAGCTATAAAACAGCCAACAGTTAAACATCCAGAAATTAAAGCTATTAATTCCTGTATAGCTCCCAAGGAAGCACTTTGGAAAGAGCCCTATAGAGTCAGGTTTCTCTTCCCTTTTACTTTAAAAAACAACAACAATTTAGCAGCAAATCCCATTACTGCCGAATGCTAGAACAGGTTGAGTCTCCCTTATCCAGAAATCCAAAATCCAAAATACTCCAATATCCCAAATTGTCCACTTGGGTGGCTGAAATAATGACACCTTTGCTTTCTGATGGCTCAGTGTGTGCAAACTTTGTTTCATGCACAAAATTCATAAAAATATTGTGCATAAAATTACCTTCTCGCTATGTGTACAAGGTGCATACAAAACATAAATGAATTTCGTGTTTAGACTTGGGTCTCATTTCCAAGATATCCTATTATGTATATGCAAATGTTCCAAAATCCGGAGAAAAAAAACCCCTCTGGAATCCTAAACGCTTCTGGTCCCAAGCATTTTAGATAAGGGAGACTCAACCTGTGTCAAGGTTATTAGTATAATTTAGTTAACTTCTGTTCAGCATTTCTTAAAATATGATGGTATTACACACCTTAACACAACCTTGTCTGATGCCTTCCAAATGTGTCCAAAAACCCATCATCCCCAGAAAGCATGGCATTGTCATGCCTGGCAAGGATGATGGGAATTGGGAGTCCAACACATCTGCAGATTGCTGCTTTTCCATTTCCAGTATTTGTGGGTCACTTCTTTTTTTCTTCATCAAACCTCAACACTGTTGTATTGGTATTGTTTTATGGATAAATACTCCTAAGGCTCAACACTGCAGGTGTATTATTCCAATAGTATCAATGTCTGTTTATCTTTCCTTGTGAGATTATATATATAGATGGCCATTTACTTTCCAAGATGAAATGGAGAAATATGTTTATATACACACACACACACACACACACACACACACACACACACACACATTTCTCTCCATTCCATCTTGGAAAGTGAATTGCCATCTAAGAAAAGCATGCTGGGATGCAAAGTGAAAAGGTGATACAAATGGTATGGAAAAGTTATATTTTTGGACACATCCCTGCTCTTATTCCCTAACAATCCTGAGGTATAAGACAACATATCTTCAGAAGAGGACTGCAGAATGTCCCTCTAAATTAAGATTATTTGCAAAGCAGTTGTCTGCTGTAAATAAAAGGTATCAACCCCAGATTACTCAAATGTTTGATTGATGGAGTATGTTACCATCTCAGTAACAAATCCTGTACTTTGTAACTAATTCCTTTAATTTTAAAAGAACTCTGTGCCTAAGTCCAGTACCTGCACTAAATCTCTTTCATAGGCAGAATGCATGGAAAAGCTTAAAGCAGGAGGGAGAATTCTGTGGCCTTCCAAACTTGGTTGGATTGCAACTCCCAGCAGCCCCTAGTCAGCTGGATTCAATGGTGAGGGATGCTGGGAGGTACAGGTCAACCCATGTATTAAAAGCCACACGAATCTTACCTATGGCTTAGAGCAAAGCCCTCCCACACACAACATAATTTCTTTTTTAAAAAATTATAGCTATGTGGGAATCACGAAATAAAGTTTATCCAAGCCTAGATATAGGAAGAGGGGTTACATCTACGTTTCAGAATGAATGCAGTTTGACACCGCTTTAACTGCTATGGAATCCTGGGATTTGTAGATGGGTGAGATATTTAGCTTTCTCTTTTGGAGAGCTCTGGTACCACAACAAACTACAAATCCCAGGATTAGATGGGCTGGATCCATGAGAGTTAAAGCAGTCTCAAACTGCATTAATTCTGCAGTGTGGCAGCAACCAGGATCTTAGAGATGCTGGAACAGAATCCAACTAACTGGAAGGAGAAAGAAGCTCAAAGCACAACCAAAGAGGAAAGAGGATGCAGGAAGGAAGGAGGCAAGGACATGATTTGAAGATGCAGATCGAGGTAAGAAGTCAGTCTTGCAGAAATGTTACAGAATTCATAAACCCAGGCGGGAAGACACTCTTTAATGCAAAGGGAAAGTTCCCAAGGCTGCTGGATCAACCAGTCAATCTTTCTTTCCGCCACAAAGCTGTGGGCTGCAATGCCGGATTTAGCATCGATTTGAATTAAGGGGGTGATGCAAAAATGGCAAGGCATTGTATGCCTTTCAGAATAAGAAAAGGGGCACAAACTCTTTTAGAAGAGAGAAAAAGATTAAAATCTGGCATGTCTTAATCATAAGTTTTCTGGATAGTTTGATATTCATGATGCTACAGTCGGCTCTTTGTATCCACGGATTTCTGCATCAACCATCCACGGCTTGAAACTATCCCCCCCCAAAAAAAAAATTCCAAAAAGCAAACCTTGATTTTGCCATTTCATATAAGGGACACCATTTTACTATGTCCTTATATATAATGGGACTTGAGCATCCACAAATTGTGGTATCCAAGAAGAGACCTAGAATGAAACCCCAATGGATACCAAGGGCCCACTGTACTCATATATATTTTTGGATATTCAAAAATGCTACTTTTTTTAAAAAAAAAGAAGCTTTCCAAAATGATGGGGGGCTAGAAACTTATTTATCTTTTTTTAAAAAGAGAGGTTTTTAAGAAGCAGCAGCACTCTTGCATTAAAGAGTGGGTAAGTTACTATCTTCAAGGCTGGATTTTGCAATCCAAA